TCAGCATTTCGACACCTCCGTAAGGATGCATTTAACTCGACAAAGCGGTCTAATAAAGGATGTATTGATCTCGTGAATTAGCGAATTTTACTATACAAATATTTTTTAATTGGATGTTAAAGTTTATATGGGAATATTACATGACACGCTGATCCTTTAACAATGCATTGGTGCAAAAAACGCACACCTTTTGGACAAATCTGCCACAAATATTTGGACAAATGTGCCACAAAAGTGCCACAAATACTGCCTAAACAAAATACTGATTTTGTGCACTTTATTTACTGTACCAATATTTTAAATTGGCCTTTGAACTTAGCTTTATTGCATGGCAAAAAAAAGTGTTACCTTGCCAAAGCACTGACAGAGCCCACTGATCTAATGGCGTTGTTGAGCGCTCCAAATGCAAACTTTGCATGCAACAATCAGGCAGCAATTGACAGCACTCTGATCTAGTGGCATACAGGCATCGTCAGATTGACAGTACTCTAGCCCAATAATGTTGGGGGATCCAGTGGGGGCGGCAGTCATATTTCAGGGTGACCGTGCCACTCTTTATCACAACCCTGCTAAAAGTGCCAGTACGTGCGCTCATTGGCGCCCCTTCAGCTGGTGGTGCCCTAGGCGACCGCCTAGCTCGCCTATGCCTAGAAACGGCCCTGTGTGTGTGTGTGTGTGTCTGAGTGTGTAAAAGAGAGAGAGAGTGTGTGTGCAAAAGAGAGAGAGAGAGTGTGTGTGTGTGTAAAAGAGAGTGTGTGTTTGTGTGTGTCTGAGTGTGTAAAAGAGAGAGAGTGTGTGTGTGTGTGTGTGTGTGTGTGTGAGAGTGTGTGTGAAATCAATAAATAAATGATTAAATATCGATTAGATTGCAAATGATTTCATTGTACAAGTAGAGTCTGAGATTACGCTCCCAAACATTCCAGTATTTAACATGAAGGTCTCTCTGTAAAACACTGTAAAAGACTTTATTCAGAATTTTACTGTCAAATGTCAGTTTCTGTCTAAACAAAAAAATCCCTGTCAAAAAAGGAAGCTTATTGCACTGCATTGTGGGATGCTGTGGTTTGATGTCCTCGTTGTGGCGATTAGTGTTTGACAGAATGTGAACCTAAATGTCTGGAGATGAGCTTTCTCCCATGCAGTCACTGTAACGGTGTTAAACAGAGAAAATCTGATCGATGCAGAGATCGATGAAGCTGTTTTTTGCAGTGTTTGTATAAACACCCTCCGTGTATCCAGATAAAGTCCACACGAACAAATCTCACAACATGCCACTCAATGGAAAGATATATATATATACATGTTTATTGAAATGAATCTATAATCATATAAAACCTCAGATTTGTAGCAGCAAATTATAAACTCGTGCAAACTCTGTGTGTGTTTGCAGCACAGCGATCCAGAATACAGACGATTCACTGCGTTCATGATCTCAGAGCCAGCGACACATAAATATCATAAATAACACACAACAACACATGGACACGATCGCATTCGAGCGCCGAGAAACTGACTGCAGGGTCTCAATATGAAGGTGGATTGATGATGAAAAGGAAAATCGTTATGATATTTAGATGGAAGATTATGAAGACAAACATTGTATTCCTTAGAACTGATGAATCACTCACTGACGTGAAATGCATGCGATTTTTAGAATGAAAATAACACATGGCAAAAATGCCAAACCCAAAGATTAAAAAAAAAAGTCAAAATGAAATAAAACAAGGGAACTGCTATTATTTTCTCACTGAACTGGACTGGAAATGAGAAGGGAATGTCTGAAACTAAATGAAAACCTAAACTCCTCAGGATGAATGTTGAAGGCATGTAAATGTGTTTATGCAGTATAAATGGAGCGCTATAAACGCTGTGATCTAAAGCACTGCTGTTTAATGAGAATAATCATCCGTATAAATGCATTGCAGTGTTTATTTGGTGTTCTCATTCTCATGGGCTCTAACATAAACATCTCTCTGAAATATAAAAATAGCTTAGATGAGTATTTATAACTGTTTGTTTACATGAGTCCAAAACACTTGCATATATGCAGTTGTACCCACTGCTTCTCAGAGAGTGAAAGCATGAATGATTTATGGCTAAAGCTTGAGGAATCAGAGTAGTAGTAAATCAGAACAGATCTTATTCACGCCAGCTTCTTCTCGTCTTCCCTGCACTTTCGAGGGATGAAGTGAGAAGAGATGCTCTCCTTCCTCGTCTTCTTTCCTCTCAGCGGCCGGCCCTTCTGTGACAGAGAGATGAACATCTCTTTGCCGTTTTTAGTCCATCTGACGGACGAGTACGCCGTGTAGTAGTTCTCTAAAAACACTTCTTTGAAGTTGCAGCTGTCGTTGTAGTCTTTCTGTCCGGGAAAGAAGAACAGATCGTAAGGTACGACAGAAGCGAGATGTATTGCATTGTGTTGTGTTTGCTGAATTATCCGTGGCATGTGTTATATTTACTCTTCAATGAAAGATGAGAGAGAGAGCGTTAGCTGGGATAATCTGATTAACTGGTGTATGTTGTGTGTTTGCAGGACGGATGGCTTTATACTTTGCCCTGTAACATTCCGGTGCGGTTCATGGAAATATAATACTGGCTCTTCAGTCCTTTTATGGCCAACACACCGCCCTCCGAAACCGTCCTGATCTCCAGAACACCTGAAACACACACAGCGGATCGGCCTGAGCGCATGAAGACACGCTGGTTTTAGCTAACTATAATAATCTATATAGACACATTTACAAACTAATAAAAATGACAGAAACATAACAAAATGACTGTAACACTTTATTTAAAGCCTTTATGTATAATGCATTGTAAAGGGTTATAAGAGGGTTTAATGCATTTAAAATAAAGTGTAACCTAATTATTCATAATGTGAGTTGTAATACATTATATCTTGTTGTAAATAATTATAACCGAATTTAAAATGCATAGTGTAACAATGAATCGATAAGTGTTCTAATGTATTAACTGTGGTTACAACTATTCATGAGATTGTACAATGCATTATAAGGTGCATTACAAGGCATAATTAATGCATTAAAACTACTTTTATTCTGCATTATACATAAAGGCTTTAAGTGTTACCAAAACTTTAATTAAAATTGACATGAAAGCAGACAATATAAAAATAAAATCTAATTTAAAATATTAACATATGATAGTATGCCAGTGATACTAAAATAACACTGACCTAAATAACAGTCCGTGTTAGTCTGTGGTAATTATTACAAACTTTATTTGAGATGCTGTTTGGGAGTTTATGAGGTAATTAATGGTTTAAAGGTGAAGTGTGCCATTTTTGGGGTGTTAAAATACTTCTGTTGTATCTCAGCTCAATATGCAAAGAAATTATTCTTACAATTCTGTTTAATAATGCAGGAATCACCTTTCAGAATCCATTCCTATAAAGCAAAATATGAGTGTGTAAAAGAGAGAGAGTGTGTGTGTGTGTGTGTGTGTGTGTGTGAGAGTGTGTGTGAAATCAATAAATAAATGATTAAATATCGATTAGATTGCAAATGATTTCATTGTACAAGTAGAGTCTGAGATTACGCTCCCAAACATTCCAGTATTTAACATGAAGGTCTCTCTGTAAAACACTGTAAAAGACTTTATTCAGAATTTTACTGTCAAATGTCAGTTTCTGTCTAAACAAAAAAATCCCTGTCAAAAAAGGAAGCTTATTGCACTGCATTGTGGGATGCTGTGGTTTGATGTCCTCGTTGTGGCGATTAGTGTTTGACAGAATGTGAACCTAAATGTCTGGAGATGAGCTTTCTCCCATGCAGTCACTGTAACGGTGTTAAACAGAGAAAATCTGATCGATGCAGAGATCGATGAAGCTGTTTTTTGCAGTGTTTGTATAAACACCCTCCGTGTATCCAGATAAAGTCCACACGAACAAATCTCACAACATGCCACTCAATGGAAAGATATATATATATACATGTTTATTGAAATGAATCTATAATCATATAAAACCTCAGATTTGTAGCAGCAAATTATAAACTCGTGCAAACTCTGTGTGTGTTTGCAGCACAGCGATCCAGAATACAGACGATTCACTGCGTTCATGATCTCAGAGCCAGCGACACATAAATATCATAAATAACACACAACAACACATGGACACGATCGCATTCGAGCGCCGAGAAACTGACTGCAGGGTCTCAATATGAAGGTGGATTGATGATGAAAAGGAAAATCGTTATGATATTTAGATGGAAGATTATGAAGACAAACATTGTATTCCTTAGAACTGATGAATCACTCACTGACGTGAAATGCATGCGATTTTTAGAATGAAAATAACACATGGCAAAAATGCCAAACCCAAAGATTAAAAAAAAAAGTCAAAATGAAATAAAACAAGGGAACTGCTATTATTTTCTCACTGAACTGGACTGGAAATGAGAAGGGAATGTCTGAAACTAAATGAAAACCTAAACTCCTCAGGATGAATGTTGAAGGCATGTAAATGTGTTTATGCAGTATAAATGGAGCGCTATAAACGCTGTGATCTAAAGCACTGCTGTTTAATGAGAATAATCATCCGTATAAATGCATTGCAGTGTTTATTTGGTGTTCTCATTCTCATGGGCTCTAACATAAACATCTCTCTGAAATATAAAAATAGCTTAGATGAGTATTTATAACTGTTTGTTTACATGAGTCCAAAACACTTGCATATATGCAGTTGTACCCACTGCTTCTCAGAGAGTGAAAGCATGAATGATTTATGGCTAAAGCTTGAGGAATCAGAGTAGTAGTAAATCAGAACAGATCTTATTCACGCCAGCTTCTTCTCGTCTTCCCTGCACTTTCGAGGGATGAAGTGAGAAGAGATGCTCTCCTTCCTCGTCTTCTTTCCTCTCAGCGGCCGGCCCTTCTGTGACAGAGAGATGAACATCTCTTTGCCGTTTTTAGTCCATCTGACGGACGAGTACGCCGTGTAGTAGTTCTCTAAAAACACTTCTTTGAAGTTGCAGCTGTCGTTGTAGTCTTTCTGTCCGGGAAAGAAGAACAGATCGTAAGGTACGACAGAAGCGAGATGTATTGCATTGTGTTGTGTTTGCTGAATTATCCGTGGCATGTGTTATATTTACTCTTCAATGAAAGATGAGAGAGAGAGCGTTAGCTGGGATAATCTGATTAACTGGTGTATGTTGTGTGTTTGCAGGACGGATGGCTTTATACTTTGCCCTGTAACATTCCGGTGCGGTTCATGGAAATATAATACTGGCTCTTCAGTCCTTTTATGGCCAACACACCGCCCTCCGAAACCGTCCTGATCTCCAGAACACCTGAAACACACACAGCTTTATTTGAGATGGTGGTTATTTGGCCACTCAGTTATTGAGTAATTGTTTAAAGGTGATGGGTGTTAAATTACTTCTACTGTATTTCAGCTGAATATGCAAGAATTTATTGTTGCTATTCTGTTTAATGGTGCAGAAAAACACACCTCGGCTTTCAGAATCCATTCCTATGAAGCAAAATATCAGCTTCAGATGGTTCGATCTCGATCTACAGCGAGCTAAAGCTCCAGTTGCACAGATATTTGACAGCTGGAGCATGTTTGTTGTGTTTGGATGAGAAGCAGACACTGCTCTTGTCGTTTTGAGCTGTGTGTGTGTGTGTGTGTGTGTGTGTGTTTGTGTG